TTTCTTTAATCGGGATTCTACCAACCTATAAGTATCTAATCGAGAGCAAAAGGAAGATTAGGGTGGCAATGTGGGAGGCGAAATAGAACAGGGGGAATGTTGATTGCTCATGGTGTGAACTATAAGTATTTTCTACTTGTACGAATGTATCTGCCTATAATTGATCATTCCTGTTTTTCTTGATTGTGGCTCAACCTCACAATTTCAGTTTGGTCTTGACGTAGCCCATTTTTGGAGAATTACTTCCTGAGAGCTTAATGCTTACAATTTATTTAATGGACCCCATTCAAATGGAAATGGAATAAGATATATGTACACAAAACCCTTTAACAGAAGTTTTACATACCCTCACAAGGGTGGGCACCATGCGTAATAAAAAATTGCCAAAAAAACCCACCACCCCTATTGTGAGGTATTGGTGGGGGTAACCTGTACCCCATGACCCACTTGAAATGGAAATACTTATTCAACACGGAATCCTATTCAAATGGAAATACTTTGCATTAAATCCTCAAGTCCACATCCAAGAACTACAAATTTAAAAAAAAAAAAAAAAAAAAATAGACGAAAAACCCAATCTTCTCGTAGAAGAAAGGATGAGAAAAATGATGAGTAATATTGGGACGATAAGTACTCCACAATAATGTATTGTTTTCATTTTTCATTTTTATTGGATTAGGAGTATAATTGTAAATTTGTTGTTGTGTATCTATTAAAAATATATTTTAATTATGATGTGATTATAATGTGGCGTAGTAAATAAATTTTGTGGTGGTAATATAATTACCCTTTTGATTCATAAGTAAATTTTTACTTATGAACGCACTTATAAGCGAACTTTTGATTTTTTAGTAATTTTTTACTTTGTGAACTTTTGCTCTGTAGTGGTAATATAATTACCCTTTTGATTAATAAGTAAATTTTTACTTATGAATGCACTTATAAGCGAACTTTTGATTTTTTAGTAATTTTTTTCTTTGTGAACTTTTGCTCTGTTTGAATCTCCTTAAAATTGTTAGTGAAATTACAGTTGTAAATAAAAATTTACAAGTAAATTCAAAATCAAACTCGTTACCAATTATGCTTTGGTTCGCGTATCTTACTCTCTCTGAGGAGATTCAAACCCTTTGTAGTGTTGGAAGTCCTAAATCCTTGGTGCAACAATTATCCTCTTGACTTGTCACCCACGATACAATTGTCCAATTGAAACGTTGTCGAGTTCAATCTATTTGCACTAGAAGATGAACTTAAAGCTCCATTAAAAGAACCCTTTTCTTTTGGCCAATGTATAACAACTATAGTAGAAAGAAAATATGAAGTTATAGGTGGACATATATTAGTAGAATATGAGTGATACATATGGATGCTGAGATTTAATAAGAAATTAAGTCTCATAATTCATACTCTCTTGATTTTAACTCATGAACTCCCAAGACAAGTCAGCCCCAAACTATTTTGTCTTTTAGCTGAAGTTGCATTGAAATAACAAAGAAATTTCCACCACTTGAGCATCCTCATCTTAAATCCAAAGTAAAGCAGTCGTGGGAAGTGAGCTGAACAATTGAACAAAATGGACTCTAATGCACCAATGCCATGGATAGGTCTATACTCTGTTGTAGCATCTCTAATATGGATTCTTGCACTTTTGGTTGATGCAGCGATCTCCAACCGCTATAGAAAACATGACATTTTGTTCACATAACTTGTCTTTGCGTGTCAAATGCACCGATGTTAATATAATAACATTAATTAATTATTACAACATAGAGAAGAAAAATTAAATGACCACAATACACAAAGGGCCGAATACTAATAGAAAAAAAATAAGACAAATTCATACAACAATAGATACATATTGTCGACCTTCTATTAGAAATTGAGCAGTAAACGAGCAAATCGAGAACAATGATATTTAGGAGAACCACCATATCCACGATTTTTGTTTGTTGCAATAAAAATACGTATTAAGCATATAACTAAGAAATTTATAAGTTGATATTAATTTTTAATTAGTACAATAAGCATCATCTTTCGCCTTCTAAAAAAGGCACAAATAAACATATGTAGCTTGAACAAGACATACAACTGAGTTTGTTGTTATAAGAAGAGTAGTGCGAGGCTTGAGAAATGCATAATATATCCAAATAAATGCACTAAATAAACCAGTCACGTAAGGAACGGACTCGGATCCTTTTGTCAATTCTTTCATGTATTAATTTATTTTTCAAAGAATATGATGAAAAAAATGGATGCTACTAAACACCACTAGAAACTACGACTTCAGCGATGGATATTTTCGACGCTAAAGGTCAATATTCCGTCGGTAATCCGACCGATCGATGGAATTTTTCCTTCGCGATAGATACCGATGGTAAAAGTTCCGTCAGTAATGTTTTTATCGACAACATAACTGTCAGTGATTATCGACGGATTTAACTTCATATACACGTTCATTGAAAATATTGATGCATTTAGCAACAATTTATTTTTTATAATGGGGCACGTCAAACATTACCAATATATCACCTACTAAAATATTTGTAAAAGTTCCGTCGGTAATTTTTTTTGTCGACAACATAATTGTCAGTGATTACCGATGAATTTAGCTTCATATACACGTTCATTGAAAATATCGACGCATTTTTGTCGTAGTTATCAGCAACAATTTATTTTTTATAATGGGGCATGTCAAACATTACCAATTGATATACCTACTAAAATATTTGTAAAAGTTCCGTTGGTAATTTTTTTTGTTGACACATAACTGTCAGTGATTACCGATGAATTTAACTTCATATACACGTTCATTGAAATTATCGATGCATTTTTGTCCTAGTTATCAGCAACAATTTATTTTTTATAATGGGGTAAGTCAGACATTACCAATGAATCACCTACTAAAATATTTGTCCATGATTTTTTTTATAAATTTTATTTTCTTATTTGAAATTCTATTAAAGAAATACCACCCATAAATATTATATATCGTTTATTTATTTATATTTCAAAAATAACGAATGGATTACCAACATAAACATAGCGATGGTAACTCACAAATTGTCCAAGTAAATAGCACATAAATTGTCTTAATAAACACTTCAAAAATTCTTTGAATAACGACCAAATAATGATTAGAAATGTTATTATATTGAAACCCTATCGATTTCTCTATATAATGAATATATGTACAAGAACATCTAGAATTAGATATGGATCCAATGGGCCCGACAAAGCTAAAAAATGTGAATTAGCAGTCATTGTTACATTAATGCAATCTAATTATCTCAATTGTCATCCGTCAATACAATGATTTCGTTCTTTTCCTCGTCCAGAAAAAATAGGCTCAGTGATATTGTTTCTATTGTGTATCAGATTTTACAGAGGCATTCATTGATTAACTCGTCTCTATAATCGGGATTCTACCAAGCTATAAGTATCTAATCAGAGGAAAAGGAAGATTAGGGTGGGAATATGGGAGGCGAAATAGGACAGGAGGAATGTTGATTGCTCATGGTGTGAACTATAAGTATTTTCTACTCGTACGAATGTATATGTCTATAATTGATCATTCCTGTTGTTCTTGATTGTGGCTCAACCTCACAATTTTAGTCTGGTCTTGACGTAGCCCATTCTTGGAGAATTACTTCCTCAGAGCTTAATGCTTACAATTTCTTGAACGGACCCCATTAAATGGAAATGGAATAAGATATATATGTTCGCAAAACCCTTACATATCCTTGGCCCCATGCATAATAAAAAATTGTCAACCCCACCCACCCCCCTATTGTGAGGTATTGGTGGGGGTTCCCTGCACCCCAAGACCCACGAGAAATGGAAATACTTATACAACACGTAACACGGAATTGAAAGTCCTGAATACAACAATTATCCCCGACTTGTCACCCACGATAATTGAAACGTTGTAGTTCGTCGGAAGAGAGCTGAACAATTGAGCAAAATGATGGATTCTAATGCACCAATGCCATGGATACGCCTATATGCTGCTGTAGCATCTCTGATATGGACTCTCTCACTTTTGGCTGATGTAGCGATCTCCATTTGCTATAGAAAATTATGGTTCCCCGGCAGACATTCTTCTCTCAATGCTGCTTCCTTGACTGTGTTAGATGTCTCGGTGAAGTTGTCAATGGATCTAACTACTTTTGAGCTCCCCAGTTCTCAACTAGATTTACAATATGCTTAATAAGTGTGGGGTTTAATTAGTCCAAGCAAATCAGGTGAAAATGTAGCTCTCAATTTAATTGGGAATCAATTTTTAACGGTCATTTTTTAGATCAAAGAGAGTCATTTTTAAAAGGCAAAAGAAAAAAACATATTTTCGTTTTGTCTTTTGACTAATTGAAAAAGTAATGAAATGGAGTAATGGGGATGGTGGGGTGCTGTAGGTGAGAAAGTAATGGCTTACGTCTTTTCACCAATTGAAAAAGTAAGGAAAGGGAGCAGATGAGGGTGGTGAGGTGAAGGTGAGACAATAATGGCCGATAGAATGCTCCAAGCATTTGACATTACGGAGAAGAACGATTTGACAATTATACTACTTTCACCACAATATCAGAGTGTAGCCAGGTCCATCCACCAGTGAATATTGTGAGAATTAATACATGAATGGTAACCAGGTCCAGCCACAACATATATTATTATTTGCTAAATCCTTTCATTAAGAATAATGCTATCTAACATTAGATGTGCTACAACATGAGTCTAGGTGATGCTATATGATCTACTCAATGAAAGGTAACACATTTAATTGTACCGCTCATTTAATGTCTATTAGTGCCACATAAACTCGTGTAACACTAGTAATGCATTACTCATTTATTTATTGAATGATCCAAAATAATCTTTGAGATGACTCGTGGTAAGGTTTGATTATTGGATACATCAACGCGTTGAAAATACAAGCTGAAGTTGCACTGAAATAAAAAGGAAATTTCCACTACACAAGCATCCCCATCTAAATGATTGACTCTAAAGCACCAATGCCATGGACTCTTACACTTTTGGCTGATGTAGCGATCTCCATCCGCTATAGAAAATTATGGTTCCCCTACAGATATTCTGCTCTCAATGTTGCTTCCTTGACTGTGTTAGCTGTCGCAGTGAAGTTGTTAGTGGATCTAACTATCCCGATGAAAGGCATGCCTGATCAAGCCGCTAAAAGTAGTAGCACTGCTTTCTTGTGTGTTTCAACCACTCATGTAATGCCTTCTTTGGGATCCATGAGGGATAGAGAAATATTAGTGAACTTGACATCATTGGGTATCCTTATAGTGACGCTTTCCGTAAATGTTATCATCCAAGTATTCACGGTCGTGATTGAAGATGATTTCCAAGTCGTGATTGTCATTATGAATGTTTATGAGTTCATTGTATTTCGTTCTTCTGGTTTAACGGTATTTACAAGTAAAAGGTATTTGGAACATAAGTACAACGAATTGAGTACATGAATTTCGGCAGAGGAACTACAAGGAGACGAATTAATGAACTATGACAAGTTAAAGTTGTTAGTTTAATGTTAGGGGTACTTTTAAAATCGACCCAGTCAAAGAGGCATATTTCCATTTTGACTTTTCAATTTATTTATATTTCCACAATTGCCTATTTAATGGCAAAAGTCAAAAACGTATATAAAACAATTACAAAATATTGTTTTGTTTAAAAGACAATACTGCCCTTTAATTAACAAATAAAAATCAAACACTCCCTACGTAAAATTTCAAAATCAACTTACTTTTGTTATCTGTTTATTTCAACACATATAAAAACTTTCTCATCTTTCATCTGCTTCAACCTTAAAATCTAAAAAAATTATCAAACTAAAAAAATTATCAAACTCTAAAGCCTGAATTTTTTTTATATCAATCACTTCGAAAATCGGTAAGTATATTTATGTATGTTTAATTTCGTTTTCATTAAATCATTATACGTTTTAACCGTTAAATTTATTTCGACATAGATAGTTAATGTAGATAATTTTTTAAAACATGAACGAGAAAAAAATTCATTTGCATTTTAGGATGAAATGGATCTGTTAACAGTCGGCAGGCAGTTGTTTCGGTTGTTCAGCCTACTGTTTTGGCTGTTTCACTTTTTTTTTATAAAAAAATTATTGTTAAAATCTGAATTTTCGACTATAAATTTTCTTTAAAAAATTATATCGAACTATTTCACCTTTTTTTAAAGTCCTATTAAAAGCCGAATCCTCGACTATTTATTTTCTTAAAAAAATTATGTTTCTTCCTGCAGATATGATTGTAATGTCAGTTTGTTACTTTGGTGACTTCGAATTGGATGAGAAAGATCAATGAGTATGGAGATGGACAAATGATAGACGTGGTGATATTCCAATTTCCATAACGGAGAGTGCAACATATGCGGGAATGTACCATGATTTACAAAACAGCTGAATGTCAACCCCTCTCAGTACGATATGGAACTATCAGAACAGAAAGTACAACATATGCGAGAGTGTGCCATGATTTACAAAACAAGCTACATGTTGACCCCTCTCAGTACGATATGGAACTGAGATTTCGATTCAAGGATGATTCATTTATTCCGATTCCACCTATGATGGTTACTTGTAATGAAGAAGTGAATTATCTATTTGAATTGAACAAAATGTACATGATTCTTCTTTGGATGACTTTAGGGAGGAAGGACGTCGTCTAAGGTGGACACGAAGATTCGATTGGAGGGATCACAATGCCAATAATTTTTTAGACACGATGGAGATAGCTCATGAGGATGATGTAGTTATTCCCGAGCAATTGTTCCTCATCGTGATCTCACTGCTACAAATGAGGATTTGATTGTTTTATCCCATCGGAGACATAAGTGGGGTGGGAGCACAGGGGCTTGAATAATTGGTATGTCATCTAATTATTTGTTTGTGGTTCTCGATTATGAAGATTTGTATGTCGAGCAACTTTTCGAAACAAAGAAATATTTGCAGGAAGTTGCGCATCGATTTCAAATTTTTTATTTAATAATATATATAAAAAATTCAAACAAAAGGAAATTATTAAAATTAAAAAAAGAATATAAATATTATTTAATTAAATTT